TATAATAGTGTATACATAAATATAAAAATTAATCATCCAAGAAGTCACATATCTTTTATGTAGATACCGGAGTGTGTATGTGTAGTAGTCTGTGCAGTAGTATATACATATACACATTTGTATACATGTATATATGTAAACTCATATATACTGTGAAAGCATAATTAACATCACTATTTAAAAAGAAGTGTTTATTAAATTTTCAGTACTGAAAAAGGGAAACTTAGACAAATTATATTTGATGTATAAATTCTTTTCTTTCTTTCATATAATTTATGATATTCTAATATAATGTCTTCCAAATACTTACTTTCAGTATATGTATTTTAGTGAGACATAACCACTTCTATTCCATATCAACAAGCTTATTTAAGTCCCCCCAAAATAGTATTCCATTTGCCATTCCTTGGTCATATACAGAAAGACATCCTCAAAAATGCCTTGATTGTTCTCTTAAAATAAACCTAATCAAGTAAAGAGTTATCTTCACAATTAGTACCTATCTGAGAACTGGATGATATTCCCCCAAAACAACCAGGGAACATTTCTCAAATTAATCTTAATTTGTACTTATCGATACACATTTGCTATTCATTTACTGTTATTGTATTATGTCAAATATATTTGAAAGGATTTCTTCCTAAATAATTTTAACTGATAATTAATGAATTTCTCTGTTTAATCACCCTTCAAGAATAATATATTTATAGGCAGCTGAAATTCTAAAGAGTGCAAGGTAAATTGCTATCAAAAATTGGAGGGTAGAGTACCCTAGCAAGCTGGAAAAAAAAAAAAAAAACCTGATGCAGTGTGTGTTACCATATATAACACATTGAATGATAAGACTCTAGGAAATAAAGTACAATGAAATGAAATTAAGATAATAGTAACCACACTTTATCTATCTGGAAAAAAACTTTAGAACTTTCCTATGTCTAATATTTTCTTAAATATAATTATTATTATCTTACAGTATACTGTAGAAAAACCCCTGTTTGTTTTAATTTGAGGGTATTTGAATTCTGGATGAATAGATATTTATAGAAAGTAGTGAATACGATTGATTGCCAAGATTCTTGGGAAGTATCTTTCAATATTAGCATTTTTAGGTCAATTTTCCCAGTATCATTATACCAACTATCTGGGCAGAATGTCAAGCTGATTTAACGAGGCTGTGTGCTTGAGATTTTGAGGTTGGTGCAAGCTTCATAAATTCCTTAACAACTCTTCAAAAGGGATGAGGCCTGTGGGCCACCTGAAAAGGCTGCCAAATTAAGGTGAAGAATAGGACATCTCCAGGTAACTATGGTAAAATGGTGCCATATAGATAAGAAAGATTAAGTAAATCATGACATAAATAAAGGAGGAGAATTTTTGGTAGGGTTAGGTTTAGGGTTAGGCGCTTGAGGGAGGCAACTGATCAATGTCTCTCTCTCAGGTCAATGTTTTTCTCTTTCTCTCCTCCCCACCCTCCTTCTTCTTCTCTTTCACTCTGAAAAGCAATAGACAAGGTGTCCTGGGGGTGAGGATTAAAAAAATAAAATAAAATGGCTTCTACACAACTGCCAGTCCCATGCAATAGTATACTTGGAATGTACCCTAACGTGTAGACTCATAAAGTGGGAGAACTGCTCCCTCCCCCAAATAAGCTTCTTAAAATATCTAGCTAAGTGTTGCTTTTTTAAAAAAACTGTTTTTTATGTGACTAGGCACAGAAGCATTTTTATTTCAAATGAATGCTTTATATGGAAGTACATTGTGTAGAAGAGAAAAACCGTAGGTCTCCTCTGCTTGAAGTTGGCATTGAGGCCGAACAGCCCTCCTACCTCCGCCTCCCTTGGGTTGAAGGGATTTCACAAAACCACTTTAACTCTGAGGACAGCTGTTTGAAAACCTTAGGCCACAGTCCAAGCCCTTCATTCTATAAATAAATAAGCCCAGGCTCATAGAGGTGAAATTAGAGGTAGAGCTTAGATCAGAGTCCATGTCTCCTTAATTTTCAATCCAAATCCTATTCTATTCTACTAAAACAAAATAAAGTGGTTACTTATTTAGGTTTAGTCATGAGGGCTTTTAATCTACAACCTAGAATGTTCTGATATAGTGAAAAGTTTTAGGTTTCAGGATGAGTAATAAGTAGAGCTGTTATTTTCCACCCAGGTGTTGCATTTCACCTGTGGTGGCTGCTACCTGGTTAGAGTGGCCACCTCTTATAGGCAGGACAGATCTAGTCATCTAACATCTGAGTTAAACCCTTAAGGATGGCAATCAGTGTATTTGAATTTTGTAGATCAAAATGTAACATGGGCATCCAATTTATCTACTGTTTGACAAGTGCCTACTAGGTATCAAGCCTTATGCTGTAACCTTGGACAAGTTTCTTAACCTTGGTATCCTTGAGTTTTCCTGACCCATAATAATAGTAGTAGTACTTCTCAGAGTTATAGAAAGGATTAAATCAGTTAATAGACCTAAAGCACTGAGAATGGTAGCTGGTACATACTAATCATTTTATAAATGTTAGCTATTATTCATTAACTAGCATAACTTCATTTATCACTTGCAACTATCCTTCAAGGTAGGTATTATTCTTTCATATACAGAAAACAAAGCTCAGAGAGGATAAATTAAAAAAAGAAGAATGGGAGGATGCAGGGAGGTAGAGTAAGGAAGAATGTTATATTAATGACTAGCTGACAGTTTCCAGCACCCGTTTGAATGGAAATGAAATCCTAAAAGTAACTTTCTTGACTTCACTGTGTTTCATTAATAAATCACCAGGCCTAGTCAGCCAATGGGCAGCTTCCAGAAATACTGGGCCAAAAATTAAAGTAGTCAGTATCACGGCTAAATAAACATTTTTGGCCCTCGCTAGTTTGGCTCAGTGGATAGAGAGTTGGCCTGTGGACTGAAGGGTCCCAGGTTCAATTCTGGTCAAGGGCACATGCCCGGTTTGTAGGCTGGATCCCCAGTGTGGGACATGCAGGAGGCAGCCAATCAATAATTCTCTCTCATCATTGATGTTTCTGTCTCTATCTCCTTCTCCCTTCCTCTCCGAAATTAATAAAAAATATATTTTTTAAAAAGTAAATAAATAAACATTTTTGTTATCCAAATAAATATTTTTTTAAAGTGACTTCTACCGCCCTGGCTGGTTTGGCTCAGTGATTAGAGTGCCGGCTGCTGACAGGAGGGTTAGGGTTAGGGTATTTCCCAGCTACGAGTACATGCTCTGTTCTGGCACCAAGCTAAGTGTGTTACATGAACTATCTCACTTGACGACTCCCATAATCCTCAAAATTCATGTAATTTCATAAGGAACAATAAGAACTACATAATTCATTTAAAACTGCACAGCTATTAAGTGGAAGATCTGAAATTCAAGCTTAAGTCTGAAGCCCATGTATGCTCGACTGCCGCACACGGGAGAAACAGGCCAGGGGGTGCGGGGCATGGGTTTCTAGCGCTCCAACAGGTGGGAAGGGAAGAGATGCTCTTTGCATTCGTACACAATTGCATACCAGGCTTGGAAAGGTCACATTAGCGCTCTCCAGTTGTGTGACTTGACTTTCTATTTACAGTCACCTATCGTTCTCAGGTTTGGGGATTTCAAGGCCAATAATATTTCAAAATATATTTTGAAAGTCAACATAAGGCTGCCAATCTTCTATTTTGCCCAGTAAAGATATTTCTAAACCTATCATTTAGCATCATTGCCACTTCAGTGAATGAAAACTTTTAACACACACAAGCGCACATGCACACGCATTTGTAAGTCCATGGAACCAGGAATGCTGCGTGCCTCTGCCTTCTCTCATGGCTGGCGTGTACATGCGCACACGCAGGAGTTCCTAGCAACAATCGTGTGAGGCAAAGTGTGCTGGGAAAACCATTATTTGAAACTTGGAAAACCTTACTCCACAACACAAAACAATACCATTATAAATGATGACTAGGTTCCCTCCTCACAAGGAAGATCTAGACGATCTTATTTTGAATATGAGGTGAGGCCCTAGAAGGTTAAGCAATTTCCTTAAATAACACACAAGCTTTTTCAGAGCCAAGACTAGAAGTGAGTTATCCTGGTAGCGACTTCGTTCTCTTTTCATCACCAGGGACAATAATACTATCACTTTCACTAGATATATAAAATAACATTTAACATTGCAAGTTTAATAGGCTTATGGAGGGATAGCTTTGGAAATGCACCACTATTTTTTAAAATGGTTGTGTGAAAAATGCAACCTGTAGCAGGAACATTTACGCAAACATGACTGTTATCACAGACACATTCCCTTTTTTACACCCCGCCTCCCCCAACCACCATGGCAAGAGAGCAGGGGGATGCACTTCTATCCTCCAGAAAAGGATAAGCATTTGACTTTTAATATCAGGAGATTATAAATCTGTGTGTCTCTGAGTACATTTGCCCCTCATCAGTACTCAATATAAGAGTAAAATCGGGTCACTGTCATGTAACCAGGGACTAGTCATTAACATAGCCCTTAAGTTAGAATCTTATTTCCTGTGCTGTTGGCTTAGCATCCTCCCTGTATTTTAAAGAAAGCCATCACCTAAAATATCACTTGAGGCTGGTACTCTGTAGAGAAATAAGAGTGTGCAATCTACACAAACTTGTAAAATTCAAATGTATCTTTTTCAGAGGGATAGTAATGAATGTATTAAACTAAGAAAACTCTTAGTTCAAGGAATAAACGGTCAAAGGTGACCACAGGGATGATAAGACTCCAAACAATAAATTTGCTTATAGTTTTAAGTTTGTAGTTATTAGCCCAGCCTCTCTAGTGATGACATATATATGACATATTATACATGTATGTATGACCATGATCATTACATACAATGAGTATTATATGTATAAGTATTATTTATGTGACATATAATATGTAGCATTATATGTTAAATATAAGTAATACACAAAGGATTTAGGAAACCAATATTAAATAAAGCATTTCTAATTATGAAAAGTGGCATCCTACTTGAGAACTTCAATTTTCTTCTCCATTTTCCAAGGCTTGCATTTGACATTAGCAATCATTTGTCTTTGCTCATCTAACTCTGCCTTCAATCTTTCCAATTCCTCTTCATCAATTTCATCATCGTCGTCCCTTTAAAAGGAAAAAAAAGTTATTAAATTTATGTCTTACTTGACTTACAAACTTAAAGAAAAATGAGATCAGAAGCTCAGTCATTTATCAACTTGGCTGTACATAGCGGCTGCTGGTACCCATAAGCATTGGGGCTTGCCCCTGAACACAGATTCAGGATTTCTGGAATTCCCGTAATTTTAAAGAATAGCATTTACATTCTGATGGCCTGAAACTAAGCTGTTCTGATATAAATAGTCCAAAGACTCAAATTCTCAGAATAGTTACAGATCGATCATTCAGAATATTTTCTCTCCTCTTTGTTCCTTATACACTGCCCCTACCAATTCCATATTTCATTTTTAAACTTTATTTTTCAGTAAGGATAGTAAATAAGAGATGAAGATGTCTTTGAAGTGCCCTTACATTTTTTAAGTTAGCTTTGACTCCAGAGAGAGAAAAATTGAAATGGGAAAAAATAAAAAATTTGTTTCTCAAAGCTCACTTAACCTTGTAATTAAGCTCAAAACTTCAATTGATAAAATTCAATTTGAATTATATTTTGTGGAAGTAAGTCCTTTGAAGAAGCCTTCAAGGGAATTTAGTTTCTTACTGAGCAAATGAGCTATTTCTTTTCTGTGTTCCTTGTATTGCTAAAATATTATAGGGTCCAGAACTCGAAGAAAATGAAATGAAAGCATGAACAACATAATTTTAAATGGAGGAATGTAATGCCATATTTTAGAGATCAATTTTTTTTTTGGTAATATTGTTTCTTCAAACTCACCTTTTTGTACTTAATATTGCAATGCTGGGTCTGGGATTCTAGGGCACATTTCTGCTTTGTCAGCTGGCTCAGTACTAGGTTACGAATAGGTTGATACTAAGAAGGAACTTGGTATTTCCTTTAGTTTTGTTTGCTCCTCTGGGGTGATGCTCCCTCCTTATCAATGCTTCTCCCCTCTAAGAGCTTCAGGGCTCCCACAGCTACATGGGACTCTAGTTGGCCAGTGTTTCCAACACTAGCAGGATGAGCTTTATCACTTGAGCACGTCCCCTCTGCAGTGGTTGATAGCTCTGTAGTTCCCTTCTCCATGCTTCTCAGTTTTAATTTCAATCTCTTTTCATTGATCCTCTAGCCTTGCCCTTGGGTGGTAGCTAGTTCCTAAAGTTGCTATCACCATGATATGTTAGTGCTCTCTTTTCACTTTTCCAGTAACCTAGTTAACAATTATTTATTATTTATTACGCAGTCCCTCTGTTAAGTGCTCTTGGTTCAATTAACTGTTGAAATTTTTTTCTACTAACTAGACCCTCACAAAGACATTGGGATCTCACTCAGAGTTAATCAAAAACATATTTTGCTGCTCACTAAGTTTTATGACTAAACACAGTAGGAATATGGCAAAAGCTGTTTTTGAAACTTCCAGCTGAGAAACACAAGGACATAACCATAGTTTTATAAGTCACCCTATAAAGTGACTTTGCAATCTCCTCTCTTTCTCACCAACCCATAGATTTAATCATATCATGATTGCTAAAACAAAATTCCATATTAACCTTCCCCAATAGCACTTCCTGTTGACAGTTAGGTTTTTGGCCAATTCAGATATTTTTGCTTAGAATAGTTATCCTGACTCAAGAGAACAATAAAAGGACACTCGACTAAAATGCAACTCTGATTGCCATTAGGTTATTTCTGTTGTAATTACTTGATGTTTACTATACAAAAATCTTATGGTGACATAAATACCTGAGGATTTTTTTAGTACATCTACAGCCAGTTTGCCTTTTAATTTGCCAAATTAGAATAATATGTGAGTTCGTTTGTCCTGGAGGAAAAATACATTTTAGTAAAAATTACTCAAAATATTATTTCCATGTAGACATAGACTAAACCTAAACTATATAGATAATTGTTTTACTGAAATCTTTATGGAAACTATCAAAAAGAAAATATGTATATATGTGTGTCAAGAAACTATCAAGAATGTATTCAATTAGAAAACCAAAAAGGATTTAAGATTAATAATTCAATTGCTTGATATTTTAAGTCTTTAACTTGCCCACCCTCCCAAAATAATTTACAATATTTACACTTAAGTACTTTAGAGCTTAATATTACTGAGTGTCCATTACGAATTATACAAAACAGTACCTGATTTAATAGATTTACCATGCAACTAAAGCTTATTTCTTTAATACAAATTTTTAGAAACCACTTAATAGAAACCTAATAATACTAATTAAATGCTTTACTGATATTTTAAACCCAGTACTACTTTATATGTGTAACCTATCCAAATTCTGATTCCTTCAAAAATCATAATAAATATTTTCAATAACCCCTTTCCTGATTATCCCTATGAAAATAGTTTTCTCTTCTCTAACACTCCTAACCTCTTTGCACTTCTTCTGTGACACATTTATACTGTCTTGTTCCATAATACTTTGTGTCTACGTGGCCTCTTCCTTACCTATATTATAAACTTCTGGAGAATGCAGGCAATTGCATGTTCATATCCATGTATTCCAAAGACATGAGCAAATTATCTTCCACAGAAGTGGAGCTGGATAAATATTTATTGAATGTGTTTATATATAGAATTTTTTTTGGATGATGTGTTATCATTATTAACCCATGTGCTTGAACTTTACTGAAATATAACAATGTCTTCCAGTATGGTATGTAAAGACATTTATTCCTACATTAATTGATCCCAGACTGGTACATTTTTAAAGTTTTTGTTGTTAATGGTTGATGACTGCAGGTGATCATGCTGTGCTATAAGATAGGGCTGTTGGATGAGCTACCTTCACATATTATTAAAATATTATTCACTGGTAATTAAAATATTATTCACCAGTATTACAGGGAAACTGCTTTTCTAGGAACCACTCAAAAAAAGTGCTAATCATATTAAAAGAATATAGCACAAACATGCTTCATCTTCTAAAATTTAGGGCTAATTTATGCTAGCATGGCTTTCTATCTTAAGTTTGATTTCTTTAAACAACAGATGTTAGGAAAAGGGAGGCATAATATGCTGAATTTCTCACTGCTATAAACATATTACTTATTCACTTAAAACTGGGTCAGGAATAACCTGTAATCTTATTAGAAATATTCCAAAAGGTCTAACAGGGCAGTGTTTTTTAACCATCTCCAAAGATAGCATTATAACCTTGGTTTTAGTTAGTTTCAAATGTTTGGTCAGCAACAAGGGAAATTCCCTAAGGTGTTTCACTTGAACATTTAAATTTTAAAAGATGATGAATTAACTAACCTAAATAAATGTGCTCTGATTTGCCTACTAATCTTTCTCAAAATATATTTGCTAACACATTCTCTTTTTTAAATGATACTTGTCTTCAAAATGAACAATAGAAAACGGACCTTTAAACAGATACCAGAACTATCGATCACCCCAAATAATGTATGATACTATTCAAAATAGTTGCACAAATTTTGACAACAGCATTATAGCTGGCAAAACCTATGAAGACGAAGTTCATTTTAGCCGAGTTTGGCTCTCCGGAGGAGTGGGGAGGTAGGGAGGCCGGGTGGGTTTCTGGGGACCAGCTAAGGATGGACACTGTCAAAGGAACAAGATTCCCTCAAGCAACAGGGGCCAAGGCCTGGCTGATTCTTATGGTCCAATCCCTAGAGATTGAGCAGCTGGCATGAGTGCCTTAAGCAAACTGAGAAAGCAGAGAAATTCCCACCCAACTCACGTTTTTAAAAGGACCTCTTATCAGTGGAGAGCAGAGGCAAATTCTAGAGTACAACCTGGGTCGTGCATATGTATTGGTGATGTTTTCTCGGTGAAATACTACTGTCAGATGTATAAGCTTTGCTAATATAAAATATTAATAAAAATAAGTATTAAGACACAGAACATAAAGTATGTTGTCTTTTATTTTTAAAAGGAACAAAGCATACAGGTATTTTAAAAGAAAACACAAAAAATGCCAGCCAATCCTGGTTGGTGTGGCTGTTAGTTGGGCATTGCCCTGTGAAGCACGAGGTTGCTGGTTCGGTTCTCAGTCAGGGCACATGCCTCAGTTGTGGGCTCGATCCCTGGTAGGGGGTATGCAGGAGGCAGTCAATAGATGTTCCACTCTCATATTGATGTTTCTCTTTCTGTTACCCTCTCCCTTCTTCTCTTTCTAAAAATCAATAAAAATACATATTTTTTAATGCCAGAGTCAAATTTTAAAGTAGGTGGTATCTGGGTTATGAAAGAAAGAAGAAAGAGAAAGAGTTTGGGAAGAAGGAGACAGAAAAGAAAGAGAAGGAGGAAGAGGAGGAGAAAAAAGAGGGAAATTTAAAAACATATATTGATAAAAATATAATAAAGAAAGGTTACTCCTTTATTTTAAAAGGAACCACACTCTATTAATACTAAGCTTCTCTACCTGACAAAATTTTCATACAGTTGTTTTTCATTGTGATTACTTATAGGAGGAAAGTAATAGCTAATCACTGAACACTAGAGTGTGTCATCTTGAAAGGCCATCTTAGAAAGTTCCTCATCATTTAGTCCTAGGAGTGTTTGGGAGGAGATTGCCTCACCTGGTAGTGATTCCATGGTCCTACCACCTGGGATTGGCAAGAGTGGGTTGGCTATTCTCTTAAACCCCTTCCAAGGGATCTAGGATTTCTATTATTAGATTTGTTTACACACAGTTTTCCAACCTGTGTGCTATCTACAAATTTCCGGAAAGCAAAGACCAGAAAATTCTTTTCTTGGATTTTCCCTGAACAGCATTTAATATGTTATTCTACACAAAGTCAGCACTCAGTAAAATGTTGGCCTGGTGGAACTAAAAAATAAACAGTGCATTAAAAGGAAATGACCACCCCAATCCTCTATAACAGGGGGCCGTACACTTTTTTTTTCTGTAAAGGGACAGATAGTTAATATTTTAGGTTTAGAGTGCTATATGCAGCTCTGTTCCATATTTGTCTTTTTTTACTATTATTAATAACACTTTAAAATGATAAGAACCATTGTTAGGTCTTGGGCTAGAATTAGCCATAGTTTTCCAATTCCTGTTCCATAGAATAAAATGATTGGGGCTCATTGTTTAGGACTTTTCTACTTCAATAATAATGAATATAATCAATGGGATCTATTTAAAACATTTAAATTAATTATATGTTAATAACTATGACAGTTTAGATCTCTCATATGGAAATTCCTCTTAGGCCATTTTTTAATATACATTGATTTATAAATTCTATTTTAATGTTAAAATACATTTAACTAAATGGAGTAAAATGGCAGTATCAAATTAAGCCTGTCTTTCTAAAAGTAGTTTTAATTACCAATTTTAAAGCCAAAGAGTGCCTAAAGGGAATGGTCTTCTTTCAGCATCAAGTGCTTTTGAATGAATAACAATTTCAGTTAAAGATCAGAACTAACTTACGCTCCCCTCCTCAACTTCTTCTTCCTCTCTTTTTCTCTGGCCTTCCTTGTTTCTTCATCCTCTGGTTCAGGTGGTAAGTCTTCCTCTTTAATAACATCTCTGGTCCGTTTCCTCTTAGGTCTCATGCTCTCTCTTCGAGGTAATTTATCTTCATCCTCCTCTTCCTCTTCACCTAAACATACCAGTTAATGCTTCAGTGAGCAATAGCAGAAAGTGTTCTTTCCTGCTACCAAATGTATTCTTATTTTTTAATTATATTGTCACACATCTGACACCACAATCCAGCAATTCTCCATATCACGATAAGATGTACTTACTATGCTATATATATTTCATAGCCTGCCATACACATAACATTTACCTAAATTATCATTTCTTTTGTGGTTCATCTACTCAAATATGTGAATGTGGAGCTACAAATTTTAATAATCTTTAGAATTCCAGTCTTCATTTACTTGGGTAACAAGATGACTTGGAATTTAATATCACATTATGACCTTTAAACCAAGTTTAGAGGTTACCAATCCAACACATAGGGTTGACTGATTAAACACTATGTGTTTACTACTACTTCTATCTTAGAAAAAAGCATAGCAATGACAAGGAAAGGCTATAAACCAGAATAATTTTGAAGTCATCAACTTACCCCTTGAGACTTCTCCTAATTTAAATTATCCTCATTCTTGATTCCAAATATTTCTTTCTTCTTTTCCCTAAATATCCCTTTCTCAAATGAAATTGATAGTAAATAAATTTGCTTGATCATTCAATCTGAATGAAGAGGAATAACTTATAAATACAAATTCAATGTAAACCTGGAAGAAATGATGTTTGTTTGTTTTTATCAATTAACAATGCCTCATTTGTCTATAATTTCTTAGGAAGCTTCCAGGTAAACAGTAGAAAGAGAATTCAGTTCCTTCCTTCACAGTTTATAACATATAATCCTACTTTACTTTCATCTTTGTGAAATTTTGATATTCTTAACTTCTTCTGATATTTAGAATCATCTACTATAAAAATCAAATATTACTCATACTTATTACTATCCCTTTACTTTAAAGCTATGGTAGGAAAAAATTTATACTTCAATGGAAAATTACAAATTGTTTGCAACATAGCCTTCTGTGTTATCTGATTCTGATTTGGGGGAGCTGCTTTGTAATTCGGTAAATTATAGGTAACTGGATAGTAATGCAAAATAATTATTGTATGCAGACACACAAAAAACTATTTCGTTGAGAAATAATCATCCTCCACCAAAAAGAGAAATAAATAAAAAACAACCCACAAAACAGTCATGTCTTCATTTGCACATCATTTCAGTATTCCTGATCTAAAATTGTGTCTGTTCTTTGGATTTGCCTTTGAACTGATTGTCATGCCTCATCACATTCCTCATTTAATAGTTAAATATGTTCATTTTTGCATATGCATTTGATCTTTTAACATTTGTTATCCAAACTTTTTTACTGATATTTCAAATCATTGCCTATGTTACTAAAGTTTGGTTAGCACGGAAACTAGGTTTTGAAAACTACTCTATTATCAAAATCAAAAGTGACTTTCCACTGGTTAAATATTGTGGCAAAAGCCATGTGTTATCTGCGTGTCCTGCCATTCTGAAAATGTATCCAGCCTTTATCAGGCACATTAGTCACTGATTATAGAAAGGACAAAGCTTGACAGGGATTGAGGAACAATTTCACCCACAAATAACTCAAGAATTCAAGCAGCCGCTTAATACTCTACATTTTAGTATATTTTGTATTAAAGGTAAACTATTAAACTTGCACTGTTTTACCATGGATGAAAAATGTATCATTAGATTTATCTTTTACCACTTAAGAACAAAAGGCAGTCTTTAGTACTTTAACTAATTTCCAAATATTCAAACTCTAAAAATATTAATGTTTGCAGTTGCCTACTAAATGCACATTTGCATATAATGTTACCTTTTGGAATGGTCTCAATTCAGTATTAAAGGGTAGCAGAATATGCCACTTCAAAATATGACTGTTGGATTTCAAGATATACTACCCCAAAATATGCCACCTTCTTACGGTGATTACTTTGAGCTGTAGACACTTTTAAAACAGCAAATTCAAGGAAGAGGCTTTCTCTGAACTCCCTTATCTGCCTAAGGACACAGCCTCCAACAGGAATTCAATTATCATAAATCCTCTCCCCAGGAGTTTCATCCCCAGGGAAGGTTGACACATCCAAGGACAGAAGACTAGAAATAGACACCATATCTCGGCAAACTTTGTTGTAAACTATCATACTTCCCGTGTATTCTTCAAAGGGCCCATTCATCTTTCCTAAAAATCATTTATTCTCTCTGAAAAGGCCAATATCCCCCTTCCTTTTTCCTATTAATATGTAGTTAAGTATAATTCTAAGCCACTTCAGATAGTTTACTTAGTTTTTCCTTATCACTTATATATGCTATAAGTGTTAATAAACTTGTTTGTGTTTATTTTCTCTTGTTAAACTGCCTTATATTACAGGGGTCTCTGCTACTAGTAAAAATTTAGAAGGGTAGAGGGGAAAGTATTTCCCCACCCTTACAGTATTCAAGCCATGGTATCCAGGATCTGCGTGAGATTCTGGGCTGTTCTCATACAAATGCACCAAATTAATAAATGGCATTGTGAACATTCGCTGGTGGCCATCTTGAGCTCAGGTTATTAAATTCATGGTGTTGATGTATCATCTAATTGAACTATTCTCAAGATGCAGCTTTTCCTTTCAGTTTTGGTACATTTGAAGCTTTTGCTCACATAATGATTTTTTCCCATGTTCTAGCCACGAGAGAGCTGCATGTCTGGAAAGGGGTTTCAATCCCGGCTCTTGCCCTGAACCTACACAAAGTAAAAACAACAGAGCAATTTGGACAAATTACAAAAGAACTTGCTGATTTATTTTAATTGAACCACCTGCTCAGTTCAATTAACATGGCCAATCTGTTTCATTGTAAGAGGGTCAGCCTTAGAGAAAAGCTTCCAGGACAAACACTTTAACAGGGAAAATAGTAGAGAAATTAGAAAAAAGCAAGTTTTCTGGACTACCAACTTACTTGATCACGAGTAACTTATAAACTGGGTGGAATGTGTGTGTGTGTGCCAACTGAGAGGAATATGGGAGTGGAGATTCTACTTGCTGGACTTGACCTCTTTTGTGAGATCATCAAAAAAGTCAGCCACAGATGTTCCCGTGCTTACATGTGGTAGCATAATCCCAAATGATAAGAGGATGAATGCCCTGAACTCGCTGCTTCTCCACAGGAAACTTATCTCGAGGGTGTCTAATCCCACTTACTTGAACTTTCCTCGGTATCATCTTCATTTTCCTCCACTTGGATTTGTACTGTTGAAGAAAGAAAAAAACATAGTGAGTCTTTAATTGATGGTACAATTGTCAGTCACTGTATTTTACTGTTATTATTTTCATAATAAAGTTAATAAAAACACTTCCAGTAAAATTGTCCAAATGAGCACTGTATATTAAAAATCCACAGCTACAGCTCCTTATACAGTGTTGTACAAAAACTTTTCTGCTACATTGCCTTCAAGCATTTGCAAAACATCAATTATAAGTCTGTCAGATCAATTTAAAATAGCTTCAACCAAAATAAATTCTGTATTGCAATAATTAGACTTGGGGTTTGTTCAATTATTTTATTCTATGAAAATTGAATTTTTACTAAAGCTATATCCACATGCACAATTTGGTTATTATAACCAAATTAGCTTACTAAAACAGAGAATATTTCATTCTATCTAGCTAACCAATGTCTAAGGGCCTTTCAAAAAAATGCCTAAAGGCTGATACTTCCTATTTCAATAGTTTCTGTTAGTATTATATGGATATAGCCTACATTTTCTAATATATGATTTACCTTGACAATGGGCAGATAAGTGATATTACAGTTCTTCCTAAGACAAAAAATATTTCTTCTATTTATCTCTCATCCCATATTGAAACAGTATCTTGTTTTCAGCTTTTCTCCATTTGTATAAAGGCATATAAAGATTTTATAAAATTTTTAATATAAAGTAATATTGGAACATATATTAACTGGCAGATTTTTTTCCTTGTTAACTATTGCTCATTCATTGCAGGTTTAGTCAACCAGAGACAAGCAAAGCTCTGTGACTTGGCATGGTAAACATTACAGCAGACTATTTCCTTAGAATCTTGGTCTAGTAACTTGTTTATAAAATATTAATTTTATATTTTTATTTAAGGTGGATGAGCATACGTTGAAAAAAAATCAAAGATGACAATGTTGCTGTGAGCCTAGGAAAGAACCTCCGGTTTTGTTTCTGCTCACACGATTGTCAAAGCTTACTATTCAGAACTTAACAGGCACATTGAAAAGGCAGCACATGCCAAGAGCCTAAATTCCATTCACAAAGAAGATTATTGTAAAAGCACTTTTTGCCTTTAAAAAGCATCTGCATAAAAATTTTTAGAATATGCAAAAATGTTATCACTCCACATCAGTCATGCAGTGTGAAAACAAGTGTTCTTTTGTTCAGGGTGGACATGTGCCTTCTGTCACTGGCTGTAACTGCATCTGCACAAAGATCTTTAAGTCACCACTGAGAGTTCGCAACAGTGAAGGCAGACACAGCTAAGAAGATATTCTATGTTCAACAATAGGCCATGGTCTTTTATTTGCAATTAATGCCACCTCCTCCAAGCTTCTTCAATCAAAGGAGGATTCCCTAGGAAGGCATTGTAATGTGATAAGGTAAGCCTTGGAGCAGAGTCTGGTCAGTGTGTATAATACAGAAACAGCTAAGGACACAGAGCAAAGGCTGCTACACAGTCTATTCTACAACATGCTAAAGCAAATATTCACGCTAAATATTATGCTGATTTATGATAATCAACCCACTAGACATGATTAAATATAGTTAATTAAATGAAATAGGAAAAAAAAAACCTAAATGAACAAAAATGTAAGAAAATCTTTAGGAAGGATCATATATTAAATAAATACAGCAGCATGAAATGTCCCAAGCCAAAGAGAAGAGCAACAAATCCATTTCCTCTGATAACAAGAGAGAGAAAAAACAGGGCTGGAACATAGATCATCTTTTCAGGTACAAGAGGGCTAGTCATAAACGACCATTAAATGAAACCTAAAAAGCCGTCAGAGGAGACATCCTGGTGGCTGCAAGTAAAGAACTGAAAAGGAGCTATGGCTTCCAAGCGATGTAGTGGGGAGTATTGCAGACATAGCCCCTTCCCTCCTCTGACTGACTTTCTAACAGACGGTCTCAGTCAGTGCATGATCATCTGCACATTCTCCTTAAATGCCCTCTTTACTCAATCCGCTCCGTTGTCTGGCAGTTGAGTCAGGGGCCATGAATAGACATTTTTAATAGTTATTGTGATCATAATTGGTTTGTTCTTGATGCAAAGGGTCAGCAAAGGCAGCCTAGCTGGTTTGGCTCAGTGAATAGAGCATCAGCCTGAACACTGAAGAGTCCTAGGTTTGATTCCAGTCAAGGGTAGGTGCCTTGGTTGCAGGGTCGATCCCAGGCTCTGGTTGGGCAACATGTGTGAGGCAACCACTTTATGTGTCTCTCTCCCATGGATGCTTCTCTCTGTGCATCTCTCCCTCTCCCTTCCACTCTCTCCAAAAATCCATGAAAAATATCCTCGGATAAGGATTAACAACAACAAAGACTCCATTGTGAGCCTCAGACCAAACTCGATTTTTTAAAATGTATTTTTACTGATTTTAGAGAGGAAGGGAGACAAAAGGATCGGCAAAGACATCATCAGAATTGAGGACTGAACTCTAGCACTATGGTCCAGCTGGCTTGGCTCAATGGTTGCGTGTTTATCTATGAACCTGGAGGTCACGGCTTGATTCCGGGTCAGGGCACATGCCTGGGTTGGGATCAAGTCTGCAACCAGGGCATGTGCCCTTGACCAAAAGGGAACCCGGGACCCTTCAGCTCACAGGCTGATTCTCTAACCACTGAGCAAAACCAGCTAGGGCCAAACTTGATTTTAATGGACTACTATTTGGCCTGAAAAGCAACTGTAATGCTGCTCTGTATCTCCTGTGACTCAAAGTGATGCTAAAGAACCAAGCTAAAAAACCCCTCCAAGACAAAAAGCCTGTGCAAAAGAAACTCAGAACCCTGAATTGGGAGCTACAGGCTGTCTTTCCCTTCTCAGACAATGTTTGGCATGGCCTCTTGCCATCCCTCCTCTCAGCAATCCTAGTAGTTTATTTCCAACTATATGACCCCTTCATGCTTTGGCTGCTTCCCAACGCCTATTGATTATGTACTTTAAAAATAAACTCTCTCCTGCAGAGTGACTTGGAGGACAGTGAATAAGAGGAAGAGGAGTTCCTGTCAAAATGCTGGAGGCAGCAAGCTAAACTACACTGAAGTAAGCTTATTTAAGACAGGAATATGCAATGGGAACAGATGAACTCCTAGGCAACCCAGATCCTCGTTTCATGCAAATAGACCCAGTAATTAAAAACAGTAAAAGGAAAACAACAGCAAAATGTCACATTGCAGAAGCACTGGAATTGTTCAGCAGAGCGGATGTTGTTCCAGGCTTTCTTTTTTCATCTATAGCACTGCAAGTAGTTTATGGTGCCTCCACATCAGAGGGGCCAAGTGGCTGAAAGAGTTAAATGATATTTCCTGTTCCTCTGACCCACATTTGTAACTCTTCAAGGGATGTTTGCAGCACCAGGTTATTGCTTTGGAAACTAGAAATTCATCCATTCCATTAGCATTTACTGTATACTCACAAGAGAGTACAGAGCAAAATTCTCAGGGATGGGAGTTTGCAGACGGTAGAAGAAAATAGCACTGTGGTTAAGGAGTCTTACTACTTTACAGAAGTGAGATCTACAATTAGTTATGAGTATCTTATCCACCTTATTTGGGTTTTGTGGCGATGTATTAGTTATGTATTTTACGCTTTGGGAGGTAATTCTTTTTGAGGTTCCTTTTTGTGTATGAGGAAATGTCAATATCCGGCCCTTGCATATAAATGGGATACCTTTCGCCTCAGACTAAACTACCTGAGAGAGGTATTAAACTATGCTGTAACAAAGACATTTCCAAATCAGTGTGGGGTGGGGTGTGGGATGTGAGAGGAAGGGAAAAAAATCAAGGACAACCCCAAGGATTTTGGCCTGGGCAATGAGAAAGATAGAGTTGCAAGACACGGAGAGGGGAAAGCTATAGGGAGAATATCATAAATGGGAAAATTAGGTTGAAGATCAGTTTAATTGACATGTTGGATTTAAGATGCCCATTAGACATCCAAGCTTATGGTGAGTAAGCAGTGGGTATTTGTATCTAAAGTTCAGAAGAAAAGTCTTGGCTGTAAATATAAATTTTGTAATTATTAGCATTTTGATGTATTTAAAGACTAGGTGAGGTCTCCAGGAAAATGAATGTAAAAAAGAAAAATCAAACAAACAAACCAAACAGAAAAGTAGGCTCCAAAGTTGAGAGGACAGGGAGAAATAAACAACCAGAGACTGAAAATGAACAATCAGTGAAGTAGGAGGAAAATAGATTGTGGAAGGCAAGTGATATGTATCAAAGAGATATGTCTGAGGCTTGTAAGTCAAGTACTAGGAGAACTGAAAATTGACCATTGGATTTTGTAATGTGGGGGGGGTCAATGATAATTTTGGCAAGCACAGATTTAGTGAAGTGATATGACCAAAAGCCTGAGTTTGATTGGCTTTAAGAGAGAAAGGGCAGTGAGGAACAGGAATCTGATAGTTACGCTAGCTAGAATGTTCCTACATGCTATTGGGAAAGATCCAATGAGAATGAGAAATTGATGATGTAGGTTATGAAATGAACCCCCTCACAACGTTACTCAACAACACAAATTATAAATTATTTTATTTTATTGATGTTTTTGGTTTTTGACTGAGACTTTGTTAAGAGATGGTACAACTCACTAATATACCCTTTGCTTAAATATAGTGTCCATCACTATATAGCAACTCAAAAGTATGGAACTAATGGATGGAGAAGGGAGAAGAAAAGAGAAAAATAGAGGGTGGGGAAAAGTAAGAGGAAAGAAAGAATATAGCAGAAAAAGGGAGGTAAAAGAGTAAAAATGGGGTGAAAATTAATGTAAATGATAGAAAAAGATAAATATAAAGGTAAATATGAAGCCAAAAGTTTCATTTTGTCTTTGCTACATATTATTTATTTGTATATTTATTTCTATGTATATAAATGTTATAAACATAAAATATTATAAATTCACATACTAAATAGTATTCCATATTTTAGAAATGCCTAGTTAAAAACTAGGACATTTTCAGCAATTTCTCCCCCTAGCAATGCTTT